TTGATGTACATGAATGGTTAAGGAGGTGCCAGCCTAGAAAGGGAGTATCCATCGGCCGAAGAATGTGTCAAGTGAACTACCAGACAACCCCCGGAGGGTAAACTGGGATCCACCCCATCACCTGGAAGGATGAGAAACACAAACTTTGGACAGTGTGGAGCCACCAGGAATGTGCCACTTTGGATAGTGTGGACTCAGAGCCACCAGGAATGAGCCATCTGCTAATTAAGTCAGCAACAGCAGAATGAAACAGCTCCCATAGACTAACAGAGGAATTAATTAAAAATGGACTCTAAAGACTGAGGACTTTGAGTCTCTGGTTCTGCCGCCAGCCTCCAGGAGCATCAGGTGCATCTGACACAGACTCGGCTCCATCCTCATGACCAAGATACCTGGCTAGTAACTTGGCATGAGCAACTTCTAGGCTGGTAACTATAACACCTATACAAAACTTAAATAAATAATTGTGTAAATAAATAAATAAAATAAATGTATGTATGTATAAGAAATAAGTAGTAATAGGAATAAGTAGTCAAACAATGTTGTTTACTTTTATCTTTTGCTTTATCATTATATTTACAATAAATGTGGCATCTTTGCCTTATCCCTCTTGATAAGATCCTGCTGGTTTTTATTCTATTGGTATAACACCTAGACTACCAACACTGTGTGTGCGTATATACAGGGCCGGCTCCAGGTACCAACCTGGCAAGCAGGTGCTTGGGGCGGCCGCTCCGGAGAGGGGTGGCACGTCCAGCTATTCAACGGCAATTCTGCGGACAGTCTCTCACTCCCGCTCGGAGCGAAGGTCCTCCCGCTGAATTGACGCCGCAGATCGCGGCTTTTTTTTTTTTTTTTTTTTTGGCTGCTTGGGGCGGCCAAAACCCTGGAGCCGGCCCTGCATATGTAGTATATACAACTGCTGTGCGTTTGCTGAACATGGCTAACAATGTCAATAAAATTACTGTCAAACCCTAACCCTGGACAGAAGGAAAGCTTAATGATGGGTCTGGATCACTTTATTATTTTACCGCTTCATACACAGATGTGGAATATTATACAGTTCTGTACTATCAGAAGACCTGATACTAGTTATAGGAATATTTTAAACACACTGCTTAATTAAGTGCATATGAAGTCATACTAAAGACCACCAAAATACCTATGAAGCATGATCCAAATATGTTTTGTAATGCAATTTATCAAAAAAGATTCAAACATTTAATAAAGGTTTATGGATTGAGGCTATCTGGACTCACCTTTACTACATAACAATAACGTTAAATGCTTTCGGTATTAATTTACCTAGTATAATAGAGGAAGAATGTTCTCAACAGCAACTGATAAGCTGCAAAGACTTTCCACAGCCATAATTTAACCAAACACATTTCAAAAGGCACTTTCTCTAGAAAGTGATTTTAAGTTGCACTGATTTAAAATGCACTGTATCTGCTTATATCGCCCCGGCAGTTGTTTACAAATAAATGTTTTCATCTTGTAATACGCATCTTTTTTCCCCATTTTGCTACTTCACTGAGTATTAAAATTTTGGAACTATATAAGTTACTACAGTAAAATTCTCAGGTTAAATGGGATAAATTGAACAGCACATAAAGTCACTAGACAAAATGTAAAATATTCAATTTTTCTTTCTGTATGTTCATGATTTTTATAAGAATTTTTAAACAAAAAACGACACCAATAAAATAGCTACATGATATTTACATCTTAGACATTTCGAAAATAAAACATCTTAAACATCCAATAGTCAAAGACAAATACAAGTTATTGCCAATCTGGATTCATTCTAATGATAAACCAAAAATACTTCAAAAATATAACAAAAACTAGATTAACAAATTTATTTGGGCATAAGCTTTCATGGGCTAGAACCCACTTCATCAGATGCATGTAGTGAAAAATACAGGAGCAGGTATAAATACAAGAAAGGATGGGGGTGCTTTACCAAGTGTGAGGTCAGTCTGATGAGATAAATCAATTAACAGCAGGATACCAAGGGAGGAAAAATAACTATTGAAGTGGTAAGAGAGTGGCCCATTACAGACAGTTGACAAGAAGGTGTGAGTAACAGTAAGGAGAAATTAGTATCCGGGAAATTAGGTTTAGGTTTTGTAATGACCCAACCACTCCCAGTCTTTATTCAGGCCTAATCTGATGATATCCAGTTTGCAAATTAATTCCAGTTCTGCAGCTTCACGTTGGAGTCTGTTTTTGAAGTTTTTTTTGTTGAAGAATGGTCTGTTATTGAGTGACCAGAGAGACTGAAGTGTTCTCCTACTGGTTTTTGAATGTTATGATTCCTGATGTCAGATTTGTGTCCCTTTATTCTTTTGTGTAGAGACTGTCCAGTTTGGCCAATGTACATGGCAGAGGGGCATTGCTGGCACATGATGGCATATATCACATTGGTAGATGTGCAGGTGAACGAGCCCCTGATGGTGTGGCTGATGTGGTTAGGTCCTATGATGGTGTCATGTATTGTGACAAAATTCCTCCTCTATCTTGGTGGTTCCTGCGCTTATTGGTGGATTTTCTTGCCTCAGAGATTCACCATGTGGGTTGGGAAACAGCCCAGAGACCTTCCCCTCTGGAAGAACCCACAGTCCAGGTCAATTGGGAGGTTTGGGGGGAACCCGGGCCCGCCCTCTACTCCGGGTTCCAGCCCAGGGCCCTGTGGACTGCAGCTGTCTAGAGTGCCTCCTGTAACAGCTGCATGACAGCTACAACTCCCTGGGCTACTTCCCCATGGCCTCCTCCAAACACCTTCCTTATTCTCACCACAGGACCTTCCTCCTGGTGTCTGATAACACTTGTGCTCCTCAGTCCTCCAGCAGCACACCCGCTCACTCTCAGCTCCTTGCGCCTCTAGCTCTCAGCTCCTCACACTCGCACCACAAACTGAAGTGAGCTCCTTTTTAAAACCCAGGTGCCCTGATTAGCCTGCCTTAATTGATTCTAGAAGCTTCTTCTTAATTGGCTCCAGGTGTCCTAATTAGCCTGCCTGCCTTAACTGGTTCTAGCAGATTCCTGATTACTCTAGTGCAGCCCCTGCTCTGGTCACTCAGGGAACAGAAAACTACTCATCCAGTGACCAGTATATTTGCCCTCTACCAGACTCCTGTACCCCACTGGTCTGGGTCTGTCACAATATTTATACTTGCTCCTGTTCCTGTATTTTTCACTCCATGCATCTGATGAAGTGGGTTCTAGCCCACGAAAGCTTATGCCCAAATAAATTTGTTAGTCTCTAAGGTGCCACAAGGACTCCTCGTTGTTTTTGCTGATACAGACTAACACGGCTACCACTATGAAAACTAGATTGTCTTCGTTTACTGATCCGCAAAACGTATTCATATTTTGACCAACTGTAAACAAGGACCCAAAATTTTTCTGGACAGACAACTCATCCAACGTCTAATAGCAAGAAATTAAGAGTAAGAAAATTCAACCCAATCTTCTTATATTTTTTAAGCAGAGCTGATTATAGGTGCCACATCACATCTTACCTCTTGATCTGATAGCTACAATAGTTGGTGGAATTTTGTATTGTCTTTTAAAATTGTGTCAGTTTTCCTATGTTTTGAGTGAACACGTCTAGGCTGAGACACACGCTCAGCCTCTAGGCTTATTCAGTATTTGGCCACTCTCCTGAAGCTGCCAACAAGGGTATGTGTGGGAATGGTGGGGTTTTCTGGGGTCGGGACATGGGTCAATTAGCTCCCTTCATTCCTCAAGTGGCCTACAGTTAAATGCCAACAAAAAACCAAACAAACAAAGACCCAAGGAAGAAAAACCTACATTAATTCTTCATTCCTACACATTTCACCATTACTAATCTCATACATTCGGATTCCCTTATTTCTCAGCTATACCGTCAATTATGACTCAAAATGAAACAGCAAATGAAACAGAAAAACTGGTACCAATGTATTGGTAATTTAACCAGATAGCAGTCAACTAATTCTAAAGAAAATGAAAATTCCAGTGACTAAAAGTATCCAATTTTCTATTCAGTATAATTGTTTATTTGATCCATAACCCCTACATGAGTATTTTAATGCAGTACTCATTTTCTTCATCTAGCATATCACCATGTGTTATTATTTCCTATGCATATGTCTATAGCTAAACAGCTAAACAACTACACGGAAGGCTCACTGAAATTTAAAACACTCAAAGCAACCAAAAAACATCCTTGCTGCATCTCGTATTATCTTGTGCCCTAGATCTGGTTCACATTTGGGCACAGTAATGCAATCCATTGCACAACAGGGTTAAGAATAAAATTAGTGTCACAGCAACTATAATCTTTTGGGGTCAAAGTTACCCAGTGTAGTAGGTGCTGCTGAAGGTCGTCACTTTAGTAGAGCCACCATGGGCAAGAGCAACTGTGGACTGGATAGACAGGGGTACTCCACCTGGGCAAGCTGCGGCAGAGATAGGCTCTGTGCTGACTCTGCACAGGCCATCACAGAAGTTTGGAGGCAGGCCCGAGGAGAGGCAGGCTAGGCCACTAAGTCCACAGCTGCAAACGTCTGTATAGGAGCTGTGTCTAGAGTGAAACTTTAATTCTAACACAGAGGCTATAATGGCAGCCAGGAAGGGGATAACAAAACTATACGGCACCTGCCAAGATCCACACAGTTCCCCAAAGTCTATTGGGTCATTTGCGAGGAGCTTGGGAATCTCATTCTTAATGCAGGAACAAAGATTGTTCATCTATATCCCCAGGTTGGTGCATTAGGAAACTCTAGTCAAAAATGAAGGACTGCTGGCAACCCTACACTCATCACTCTAGCAGCTGATCACCTTCAGTATTTAAACAGGTTTGGGGCTTAAGAGAGGCTTCAGTGGTGCCCCAGACCTCTGCTAAGTGATAAATCTCACCCTCCAAGCAGTTTTATTCTTTTATGTAAGTGCTTTACCATCTTCAATCTATACATTTACATATAAAATTAAAATGTAAAGAGTTAACTTACCAGAGGTATAGGGAAGTGTGTTGCATATTGCAAATGGCGAAGGAGGTCATAACTGGATGGAAAAATCAGTTCTCTCAGTTTTTCCCTCTTCACTGACTTCTCACTGTTAATTGAAATTCTTCTGTCTAACAAAGAGTTGACATTCTCACAAGACTCCCCAGGCATTGGAGAAAAAATCTAAGTAATGTAAAACAAATGGTTAAGATTACTGGAAACTGAAACATTCACAATTCAACCATTGCATGATTGCCTTGATTCTGCTCCTATTTACCTTAATGGAGATGCTCAGCATTTAAACCATCATGAGAATAGAGAATTAGACTCAACATTTAAAAAATATATTATATAACATTACCCCAAGTATTTGTACAGTGTGTTATTTACAGACTAACAGTGTTTTGATATGCTGGAGATGGCCTAAGGGACAACTGTGGAAATCAGTGAGAGCTCCCCAATGTAGAAATGAAGCGATGCTGTAGCAGGGGGGTGTTTGGAGATGATGATGCAATACCCTATACTTGTAACACTACAAGGATTGGAAATGAAAGAATAGTGGCCATATGACAATAATAACACGTTTCTAGTTCAGAATCATGGAGAACACATTTTTGTGCAAATAGCAAGCAAGGGGCAAAGAAATGCAGTGTGCAGAAAAATCAAAAATTAAACCTACTGGAAACTCCGAACCAAAATCTGTCTTAAAGTCACTCTTGTCTACATCATCAAAAATATTACTGGTTCCTGAGTCAATGCCCATATGTTCCATAATACTATGTTCCTAATAATCACCAGAGAGAGAAAAAACACCAGTCAGATTATAATGAAAATTCTGTTTGATTGGTCATAAAGCCAAAAATTCCACCCATTTAAAATTAAGAAATATTTTATTGTTTAAAATCAAGCAAAAACAAACCATTCCTACTGTTAATATTCACAATATTCCCTAATTTATAAAAGGTTTTCTAATTCATACCCATATTCCAAAGATAATCAAGGACAGATGGTTGAAGGGAAGACAAAGACAGATAGCACATTTTGTTCACCAAGAATCAGCATATGTACTAGGGTGACTCTGCCCATAGGGGCTCCTATAGAACTCAAAACTGCTTCCACCAGTATTGCTACCTGCCCTCCGATGGATAGTACTTTTTCTGATGCATGTGTCCCTGTGGACACCATACGGTGTAATCTGAACATATCCCATGTCCTCAAGTTTCAATCAGGTTGTGAGACTGTGGGAGCTGAAAAGGAAACTGAGGAAACACAAGAAGCAGACCTTTGGTACTATATGGGCTGTGCTACAGAATGATTTCACCTCAGCAAATTAAGGACCTGATGTAAAGTGCACTGAAGTTAATGACAGCCTTTCCCCATTTACTTTGATCTGCTCTCCTGAAACTCAGAGATTCCAGCTGGGATTGTACATGTATAAGCAGCACTGCCTTGCATTATCATCTTCAGCTGAAGAGAATTCATTATACCTGCACTGCAGCTGGGATATTTCAAAGCACCGGGATAGAGACACATTTGACCTGGGACTCCAAATGCAACAGATTATTTTCATTTTCACCTCTTTCCAATTATTAAAAGATCAGGTTTGAAGTTCTGCATTCCTTGTGTGGAGGTCTGCTTTTAAAAGGATGCTACTGATGCTGAACCTTGAATGCAAGAGAAATAAGTGAAGAGGTGTATTTTTACCTCCAATTTCACATCAGGGTCCTTAGAATAGTGTTCATCCACAGTTTCTCCAGTAGGTGAGCGTGGTCGAGTGGTTGCAGTAACTGACAAGTCTCCACGCGATATTAAAGTGCACATGTATGCATCATGGGAGAAAACGTCATGTCGAATAAACTCGCAAAACAGCAGCACCAGATTCACAAATTCTGTCTTCTCATATTCACTGTTTGGGTCAGCTGCCAAAAAAAGTAATTGTAGTTTAAAACATAAATTTGCTCTTCCATTCCACAAAAATGTCTTAAAAACCATTTTTAACCATAGCTGCTGTTTTTTATTTTTCTCTTCTAAGAACTGCTTTTCTTCTCTACATAATAAGCCAAATCTAATCCAGTGCCGCATAACTGGCATACTTAGACTGAACTTTCTTCTGGCAGTTTATTCCAAAGCATTCTGCTCCATAGACTTCTGCCCACATTGTATTACTGGCAGGTTATTCACTGCTCTCCATGTATTTCTACCATGTTTAACAATGTATGAGCATATTACATATTGTAAAAATGGACACACTAGGATCGCTCTCTCTCCCCCCCCCCCCCAGCCAAAGAAGTCTTCGTGATTTTATTATGTTTCTATCTATTAGGGCATTTTAGGTTCTTACTAAACACCTTTTGGACACAAACCCTTAAATCCTTTGAAATATTTTAGAAAACTATTTGGAAGATTATTTTACTACAGATAAATGTTATCTTTATTTTTTCAGTTAAACATACTGATGTGTATCTGAGAAAAGAAAGAAAGAAAGAAAGATCCACTTTTGCCAATGAGTTACCATTGGCTCACAAAGAATCAAGAATGAATAATCATTTTTGAAGGTGACTATTTTACTTAATATTTGCATTTGTCACAGCAGTATTAAAATTTTACTCAGTTTGTAACACATCAAGCATTTCATGTTTGTAATCATGCAGAGGTAGCAGAAAGTAGCTCTTTACCACAACTTCTTTAATAGGAAACAACATCTCCAGCTAGCCACAAATTCAACTCATCAACAAGTATTTGAAACCAAAATGAAGTTACACTGTAAAATCTGAAACTAGTTCAAAATACAACCATTGTTCTACAAACAGCAATAATTTGCTGTAACATTAAGCAATTTATGGATGAACGAGCGAGTTTGGTTAGGTCACGCCTAACTTTTGGCAAACAAAGGCCTTCTTCTACTTTTCACCCCAATGCACCTTTTATAAACTCTGTTTGTTGTAGTTCTCAATATAGTACACTATCACACTTAGGTTGTTACAGGCCAGTTATGCTATCACTTTAAAAACAGAACTACCAGAAGTGTACACCTGCAAAACTAAAGTGAAAATTTCAGTTCATTCCTGAATTGGGAAGGAAGCCAAAGCTCACTAAAAAAAATGTTAGCTATAAAATTAAAATCTAATTTTTAAAAAAAAATTGTTCAAAGGACAGATAAAATTGCACACAGCTTCAAAAGAAGAACCCCCCAAATGCGGAGAAGTGGTAACTCAGAGGAGTGAGAGAAGTGTCTTTTTAAAAAGTACAATTATAGTATAGCAATTTTTCCTCTGTTGATAGATACCATCTGCATAGTATTCTCATTCTTGGAGACTGAGTAGCTCACACAGTATCTCAAAAGTATTCAAGTACAATACATTCTGCAGCAAGTTTAACAAGAAGGCCAATATGCAACCCCACAAGTACCACGCTGAATGATTTCAACATACTTTTGTTTTATGTTTCAGATAGAAAAGAGAAGGGAAGGAAAAGATACCTCAAAACACCACCAGAAAGGTCTAAGAAAATTGAGCTTCATAAAATGAGTAATTCAAAATTTAGCTATCTCAAATTCCCAAAATGAAAAAAAAAAATCTCTAAAGAAAAAGTGAGCTAGGCACCCCTACTTTGAAAACAGGTTTGTGTGACCCAAGGACCTCCTGATGCCAACTAGCAGAGGGCACGGGATATGTAAGGGTACTGGGATCCCCAAAAGAATGTAATATAAGAGGCCTAGAGAAAGCATATTACACTAGTCATCATAATTAATGTGAAATGTATGTATGGAAAATACATGAAGACTTATGTAGAGATGCTGAATACTATATTCTCTAGGCCTTGTAGTTAAGGGCAGATCAATCAAAGATAGCATGCCTTGAGACAAACCTCCAGACAGAAGATGAGAAGTGAGAGACACTTAACTCCCTGCTGAACCATTGATGTATTGTGTATCTTACAAAAGAAGTTTATTAGCATACTGAGTCAAATGCTCATGAAGAGTTTACAGAGATTTCAGAAGGAAATCAACAGGAAGAAGTGAACAGCACAGGGAGAGGGACCCTGTTTTCAGGTGAAGATCAAAGTTCTGGCCTGTTATATCTAGGGTGCAGATGAATCCCTGGGTATCCTTCAATCTGCAAAGACAAATTACCATTTGGCTTGAATTTATGAAAGAAGGATCTCAGCCACCCTGGTTGAAAACACTGTGGGGAAGACTTGTGGTAAGATATCATGTAGGAAAGAAGAATTTACTCACTCTGTGCAGTAATTGCAGTTCTTCAAGATGTGTCCTGCTATGGGTGCTCCATTTCAGATGCACATGTACCTGGCCTGCACATGTATCCTGTGCCTCCTCATGCCAGACACCAAGGTTATGTAGTGATGTGCAGGTGAACCACCTTAAGTTCCTTTTCCACTCAAACATCTCCATAGAGAACAGTCTGAAGCAGAGGGGAAGGGAGGCTGGTAGTGGAACACCCATAGGGGGACACATCTCAAAGCACTGCAGTTACTGCACAGGTGAGTAAATTCTTCTTTCATACAGGATAATTTACCACAGCATAGTGCTTTGAAAACGTACGTAGTGAAGCCCACAGAGTAGCCCTACGTAACTCAGACACCATTATGTTTTTAAGCAATGCTATGGATAATGGCTATGGATGCCTGTGGTTCTATAACAAGTAAGAATACATCCAGATATTCAACTTGATAGTCTTTGAGCAGAAATCATAGATCTCTTGGACCCATCTGCAAAGGAGAGGAACAGCCTTGGTGACCTTCGAAATTGCTTGGTCCTATTCAAGAAGGAGGCCAGATACTTTAACATCAAGGATATGATAACATGACTCCTGCAGAGAGTTATGTGGCTTCAGGAAAATCACTGGTAGATTAATAAACTGGTTAAGGTGGAACTCCAAGAGATTCTAAAGTAAGAATTTAGGATGTGGGTGAAAAGAAACCCTTATCCTTGAAGAATACTGTAAAACAGGTATCTGCCATCAAGGCACCGATCTCCCCAACTTTATGGGCCAACATGATGGCTACTAAAAAGGCCATCTTCACAAATAAATGGACTAAAGAACAAGTTGCCATAGGATCAAATGGATGTTTCATAAAATAATTGTTTACCAGGTTAACATCCCAGGTCGGGGTGGGGTCTTTTGTCTGGGGGTAAAGCATCCTCAAACCCTTAATAAACATAGATGATATAGGATGAGCAAATATGGAAACTCCCTCTATAGCCAGAAGAAAGGATGATATTGCAGCCAAATTGACCTTAATTGAGTTAACTGATAACCCCGATTTCTTCAGATCCACCAAATAATCCAGGACGACAAAGGCACAGATCCAGGCAGGAAGCAGCAATGACAGCATCAATGAGAGAATCTCTTCCATTTCTGCAGGTAAGTAGCAGAAATTGACTTCTTCCTACTATTCAATAACACCTGTTGCACTTCCTCAGTGCAGGAGGATTCTTCCCACAAACACCTAGATCGGGGTGAAGTGACCCACATCCTGCAAGAGGAGATAAGGAATGGTGAGGAGCTTGAGCAGTGGATGGATACACAGATGAAGCAGGTAAGGATACTAAACTTGTCTCAGACAGGTTGGTATTATTAAGATAAATCCTGTGTCAGTGGAGTTGGAGGAAATGCATACAACAGATCATTCTTCTGTCCCCCGAAGAGTGGCATCCCACATCCCATCTTGAGCAGAAAAGAGGACACTTCTTGTTCCTGGAGGTGGCAAAGAGATCCACCTCCAGCAGACCCCGTCTTTGGAATACATTATAGAGCACTTGACAGTCTAGCTCCCATTCACAATCGTGTGAAGTCTCTGCTGATGACATCGGTTGCGATGTTCTGAATGTCTGGGAGATAGAGCACTGAAATTCTATCTGATGAGCTATGCACCAGTTCCATAGCTTCACAGCTTTGGTGCACAGAGGAGCGGGGACTTGTTCCCCCCTGCTTGTTGATGTAAAAAGTGCAGGAAATGTCCGTCATGACGCTTATTGATTTGTCCGTGATGAGAGATAGGAAATGAAAGCAGGCATTCCCGAGAGCCCTGGGCACCAATAGATTGATGTGGAGATTGGTTTTCTGAGTTATCCATCTGCCCTGAGTTGTAAAAGCATTGAGATGAGTTCCCCATCCTAACAGTGATGCATCTGTTGTTAAAGTTAGCAATGGAGTTGGGCACCAGAATAGAATGCCTGCGCAGATACGGAGTTGATCTTTCCACCAATCCAGGGAGTTACTCACTTAAAGAGGAACCATCACCTGTCTATCCAAGATGTCTGACTGGAAAACAGGTTGTTCTCAGCCAACCTTGAAAGCTTTGGAGAGGTAGCTTTCTGTGATCAGTCTCAAAAGTACAAGCTGTCATGTGTCCCAAGAGCTGAAGATTGTTCTTTACAGTGGTCAGAGGATTCCCATGAATTGTCCGTAGCAAACCTAATAAGACTGTCTGAGGGAAGGTAGGCTCTGGCTGTCAATGAGTCCAAAGATGCCCCTATAAACTATGTTCTTTACAGGGGTTATTGTGGATTTTCTCACATTTGGCTGGGACACAACTCTTGGAAAAGAGCAAGAGCTGTTTGGATTGAAGAGAGCGCTGCTTCATAAGAATGGTCCTTGAGTAGCCCGTTCTGAAGATACGGGAAGACAAGGATTGCCTCTTGTCAGAGATCAGAAACCACTACCGCCAGAACCTTGGAAAACACCCTTGGGGCAAAAGAGAGACCAAAGGGAAGCACTTTGTATTGGAAATGATCCTGGCCTATAGTGAATTATAGATATTTCCTGTGCAAAGAGTGTACCACTATATGGAAATATGATCTTGTCCGTCAAGGGCCAAAAACCAATCCCCCTTCTCCAGTGAATCAATTATAACTTTCAGAGTCACCATCCTGGATTTCTGAGGCTTTATAAACTTGTTTAGAAATCTTAGATCTAAGATCGGTCTCCACCCTCCAGCCTTCTTTGGTATATGGAAATACTTCTAATAAAACCCCTAGTCCCTGTGAGAAGAGGGACCAGCTCTATTGCTCTTAACCAGAGGAGAAAGTTCATCTCCTGTCTTAATACAAGCTCACGAAAAGGCATCCCTGAAGAGGGACATGGAAGAAGAGTTGAAGGGATGGAGTGACATAAAATGGATGGTATAGCCTGATGTTATGACCTCTATAACTGACTTATTTATAGTAATTCACCTCCACACGTTCTGGAAATAGGAAAGGTGGCCCCAAAAGGAGGGTGGTGGGCAAATAGGCACTGCTGTAAAATCAGTGACATGGGAGGATTCAACCCCTTGACTGGCCCATCAAAATTGCTGCTTAGAAGATGATTGGGTGGTCATGGAGGGCAGGTGGGCAGCCCTCTTTGTCTGAAACTTATATCTTTTCCTGGGGGGCTCAGTGGATCTATGGAATCTAGAAAACTGAGCAGGACACAATCTCTGGGTAGTTTGTGACCTACTAAACCTCCTTTTATTTGTAGGTGTATATATGCCCCGAGAACATAAACTGGCTCTAGAGTCCTTCAGTGTATGCAAGGACTCGTCTATGGTCTCCAAGAAAAAGCCTACGACTGTCGAAGAGGAAGTCCTCACAGGTGTTCTGTACTTCTGTCAGAACCCCGAGAGCTGGAGCCAGGATGCCCTGCACATAACTACCGGTGTGGAGATGGATCCTGCATATGCTGCCAACAGGTCCAAGGATGCTTGAAGAGTGGTCCTGGCTGTCCCTCAAACGATGGACTGGAATTGTTCCCTATGTTCCTGTGGCAGGTGTTGCAATAACGGCCATCAATCAATTTTGTGAAACTGTATTTGGCCATGACCAGCTGATAGTTTGTGATCCTGAAGTGCAGGTTTGTGGATGAACAGATCCAAATAGATCCAGTCTCTTTCAGTCCTTGTCATGACCTGGAGACGTGTTGCCTGGCCTGCTCATTCACTGCATCCACTACTAGGAAGTTAGAAGAAATCACAGTCCTTAAGAGGAATACAATACTTTTTATCCACTTTTTTTAAACTTTAGAGAAATAGTTGCAGGTGTTTGCCACACAGTCTTACCTTGTTGATGGGTAATGCCACCCTGGAGGGTGTTGCGGACTATAGAATATCCAACAGCTTGTGCTGTGAAGCCCTAACCACTTCAAGTGGAATTTGAAGAGTGTCAACTACCCTCTTTATGAGGTCTTGAAATTACCAAAAATCATCAGCCATGAAAGTTGGTGGAGGCATAACCATTTCATCTGGAGATGAGGATGAAATGGGTGTTTGAGGGGTAGCCTCTTTATCCACAGTGGCATCCACCCTGTTCCTCACATGTCTCTTCCTGTGGGGTGAACAGGTTGGGGAGGAGAGGACTGAACAACTCTAGTCTCCCTTTGAGATAGTACTTGTGGTCTGGAGAATTGCTGTTGGTAAGCAGCCCAGGGACCCCAGTACTGCCATTAGGGGGGTCCATATGGGAGTGGAGGTGGCATGTAGGGCTGGTTCCACCAACCTTGATGGTAGTCGTGATCTTCCCTGCAACTGTCGAAGAATTCGGTCCTGACAGGATATGGATGGGGGGGGATCCTGAACTGAAATAAAGGAGACTGACTGGAAGTCTCCTTCATTCTCCCCAAAAACATCCAATGTAGGAGCCCTAGGGTACAGTAGAAGTCTGGAGATCGAGGTGTTGGTACAGAAAGATGCTCAGTACCCATGAGAAGTGGGGATTCTGGCTCATCCATTATGGACAGGTCCCTCACATATCTAAACTCTTACGGAATCGGTACCGACACAGCAGCCAAGGACATAGTAGCCAAAGCTGATGGTACTGCTGAGGGCGGGCATAGTGATGTAGACGCCAATGGAGACTGGCACAGCTGCTTGCTCGTTAGCAAGGGTGCCAATGAATAAGTGCTAAAAAGCAGGACTGAGCTTGACGATAGCAGACCAGGACGCTTATGCTTGCCCTCCTCCCTGGTAGAGGGGACTGAAGCCCTGTCGGAGCCGTATGTCTCCCTCGAGCTCCATGGCTTTCCAGATCTTCCGGTACTGGAGGAGGAGTCCTTTGACTCCATGGTACCAAGCTGAATCTTCAGAGATTGTAGATCTTACAGGCAACCTAGGCTTTTTTGGAGCAGGCTCCTTCAGATGAGAATCTGTACCCTTCTTTTTGGGAGTCCTCTCAGAAGCCTCCTATGACCTCCCCTTCTTAGGGAAGCCCTGCACCAAAGGGCAAGGGGAACTGGATCTGTCTGGAAACAGATGTACAGGGCGGGGGGGATCCTGACCTGACTCAGAGGCTGGTTGAAGTGAGCACTCCATTACTAACAGTCTGAGCTTAATCTCCTTGTTCTTTCTTGCCCTTGAATTGAGAGCTAAACAGCAATTGTATTTCTGGGTGACATTGGGTTCCCCCAAACAATGGACACACTTAGAGTGGCCGTTGCTCACAGGTATAGCCTCTCAGCAGGAGCAACAGTGTTTGAAGCCTGGCAAGCCAGGCATGCCCTGCCAGGAAGACAAGGCTCCCCAACGAGAAAGACGAGGGGGGGAAATCCTCTCACTACTAACAACTAACTAATTTTAACAAACAACTATAAAAAGAATACAAAATAGTTGAGGCACGCTCAGGGCAGGCAAGCTAGAGCTCTGTCTCAGGCCAAGAAGGTAGAGAAGGAACTGGGGGCAGTTTGCCCACACATGCACATGTGGCCTCGGTGTCCGACAGGAGGAGCCCAGAAGAGCAGCCCCTAGTGACAGGAATCCAACATAACATCTAAAACAGATCTCAGTCCCTAAGAGTGTAAACACCTAGAAGTGTTTACTAAAGCCCTGTGTAGTCCTCACCAAAATGGGACCATTAGCACCTGAATGCAGATTTTATAACAAACTCATAACACAATTTCCTGTTGCTAAGGGAGTACATTGTTGAAGGACTGTACTATGTGTGTGTCTACAAAACATTTATAATCTCCTTCATGCAAAAAAGTGTCAGCAGTCCATGTGCTTGCCCGGCTTCTGAGTCAGGAGAAACTGTTATGAAACATCATAAAGGAGTTGCATTAGACTAAGAAATTTTTGATGGCTACTTAGCATGCCCACTAAAAAAAAAAAAAAAAAAAAAAGTGATTTTTCCCACTTGCTTATAATCTGACCAATTTCCTTTTCAAGTTAAGCACTGAGAACTAATTATATACCAAACAAAAGTCAGCCGTTTTGAATTCCTCATGAAATCAAAGATGGTTAGTGTTTTTACTTTATATTATGTATTATGCATGAAAAGTGTACTTTCCCCCATCATCATACTGCAATTAAAACCTAGATAAAAGGAGTTTGCTCAAGTTTTCCAAAAATTCACCTTTGGGCACAGAATGCCTGGGAAGATTTCAGCACAAAAACTAAACATTTTGGAAAATTTTGAAAATGGGTGGAGAGGATCATAATGGAAACTGCAAATTAGCAGCACATGCTCTAACAAAGCAAAATACATTCAGCAGCTGGACACAAGACCAATTGCTCTTGTCCTATTTTGGAACAGAGATGAATTAATACTTACATAATGAGGGAGCCTGTGTATCTAAAAACCTAAGTAGGACATTCTGAAAGACAGGAAGGCTGGATCCAGTAAGAGAAGCTGAAGAAATAGATTCTTTTTCATCCAGCACTTCTGACTCACCACATCTCTATACAGTGAAAAAAAAATATCAATTAGCATATCATGCAACTCTAAATGTCACAGTGTTTCTCTTTCTCCTCGCAATGTAATATCCACCCAAATCTCAGAAATCCTACTGAAGCACTACTGAAATAAAGCATTGTCCCACCTCTGTCTACCTTGGGTACTTCTAAAGTGCTTATTTAAGAGTTATATAATAATTATGGAAAAGGTATAGAATCACCACTTGTATAAAATGTTATAGTTAGAATATTTTAGTAAATTCAAACAAACTTAATTTTCTGAATTGATTACACAAACAGGCTATAATTACAGCTTTAACAAAGGAAGTTAATTTTCTTCTTTTGCGGTCATTACCCATTACTGGTGTAATGGGTTCTCCCTTCCCCCCACTGCTTGGGCTGCAGAGCGGGTGGTAGCTTGAAGGAGCACAGGGCGTATGGAGAGTGAAAGTAAAAATATGTTTGTGTGTATGGTGCTATCTGTGGCCAGTTCCGGTGGAAGAAGCACTTCTATAAGGAGTACTCTGGCTGCATTAAAAAGACTGTTGCATCTTAAAGCAATACAGTCTTGCCTTCTACTTTTGGATACCCCTCATGCTATACTTTGTTAGTAGGACCATCTATTGAAACAGTCTGTTTGTCATGGCTTAAAAAACAGTTTACACTCACCACCATTAAAAAGTCAGTATTTACCAGTGGGTTACCACACCACAGGGTCTGAGGTACTCAATTATTAGATTAATAAATAACTGAAGTACCAATGGCATCTCCACTTGATCTCCAATGCAGAGAGGGTTTAATTTTATAAAGAAAAGAAGTTGTAGAGGGGCTAAAGAAATATTATGAGCCAAATGTCAACTGGTGTAAATTGGCTTAGATCCATTTATCTCAATAAAGATACACCTTTTACACCAGCCAAGGACATAGCCCTGTGGCTATGTGAAACATTTTCGCTGTTCTCCCAGATTCAATGAAAAAAAACATAGGCAGTTTTATATAATGTATGGTTCTCTTTAAGACACATTATTTTGGTTCAGAAGTGCCCACTTGGTTTTTAGAATTCTCCAGATTTTGTAGGCCATCAGAGCGCAATCTCTAGTATGCATAATCATGCACCTGTCAACACAGGTTAACACTCTAATTTCTTCAAGGGACAATAGATGGCAAACCTCCACACACCGTACTATATATAAACTCCTAATACACAAAAGTAAATCATGACAGGAAAAATAAATAGTAATGAAGCTAACTGAAGCTAGTTTAAGTTTTATTTTTTATCAGAAGCTTCTTTATAATTCAAAGTTAAGATGCGATTCAAGAACCATAAATTGGTGGCATAACATCCAATTTCCCAAGTCTGATTCAACTGTTTAAAAATGCTGTATGTTGAATCAAGCTAATTTCTCCTCAACTGCTCATTTTAAGTGCATTGCTAACATATTATTCTAAAATGAGAAAGAACAACTTACTTCTACCTCAATTTCTGCTTGCCTCTTCTCCAGGAGTTTTGCCACAGCCATCGCCCTGTGTTTGCCAGACCTTTTACAGCTCACAGCCCATTCACAAAGCAATGTTACCACAGCTTCATCATTAGGGGCAACCTGTTCAATGGAGAAACAAAAACAGTCATTTCACTTGCACAGGAATAGCACTGCTTATTTATTTGCTGGCTAGAAACAGTATGGAACCAGGCTGCTGGTGGTGATGTACTTTGTAGTAGCACTTTGTTTTACCCACGTGAAGCAATTTTTAGAAATTACTGATGTATGTGTATGCACATTTTATCTTCAAAAGGGATAAAGTGGGTGTGGGAGGGCATAGGGGCAGCAGAAGGCAGAAGCGAGGGGCACAACAGAAGCATCAACAGATATAGAGGGATATACCGGGGAAGAGGAGGGAGAATGGTAACTAATGAACTAGGGATAAGTGAATCTGGGGCTGGGTGTAGCAGAGCACCCAATATTTCAAATTTTATACAAATTTCATGCCTGTCATATGCTGATTCAATCCATGTTTTATGTAATTTGTTCCTCACCTTTGCGCCTCACCAAGGTAGGCAGGTCTGGAGGAGACAGGGAGGTCTGTACTTTCCCCACCCCCTAGAAAAGAGTAACCCTGAGCGCCCCCACCCCCAGAAAGAGAAAGAGGGGAGAAGTCGCTCATCCCCATTCACTAAGAAGAGCATGCCAAGGGTCCCTCCTTGCTCAAATCATGAAGTATTGGAAACAGCCCTGTTTTCTTCTCTTCAGTATGTTAGGGGAAATAGAAAATAGAAGGCCCAGACTTTTCCTCCAGCTTCCCCATAGACCAGTGCTAGGTGGGAGGCCTCTTAAAGAAGGGATTGTTTGGGAACAGAGGATCACAGAACTTTAATGGGGAAAGGAGAGAGGGAAGAACCTCCACATGTTCAAACAAATATCTAAACTTAGTCAAACACTGACCTTTTGGAGCACCTGATAATTAAGATACTCGTATTAAAATAAACTGAAAATCAATTGGAATACACACAGCAGCCCCCTGGCTTCTCTGAAGGATTCTATATAGAATTACTCTAAATGCTGGCAAGTACTTTTGAATAAAGACTGCACTTTTCACAGAGACTCTGTAATACGTGTAAGCAAGAAGATCTGAAAATATTTTCATGCTTAATTGACATGGAGTTTTTTCCACCCTTCCCCCCCAAAAAGGGACTTCCCCCACACATGTGAGCTTTGGTTTGGTTCATGGGATGTCCCATTTTTCTTTTGTCAGCAGAGTACAACTAGCAAAAATCCTGCTCAAACAGAGTTGGCAGAGACACACAATAAAGAAACATAATAGAAATATATCACTAAGATGAGAAATTCTGATTTTAGCCATGTTTTAAAGGATAGACAGATTTAATCAAATTCATATCAGAGAAAGGTATTTTAAAATGTTGACAGGTTAAATATTGAGCCTGTATCCTCTGGGGATCAGATTCTGCCATCTTCTAGGAAGAAAGCTCAATGTACAGAACAATCTGATTTTAATATTTTCTAGGCATTAGCTCAGCAAGAAAAGTAATCCAGGTACTAGCAACAGGTTAATGAAGATTTCACAAGATAAAAGAACTATAAGCACGAGGTTCTCTTGTTACATAGTGAGACATCAGCCATGGAAAGACACTTTGTTGGAACCCCAAAGATGAACAAAGAAACAAAAAACATGCTGCTTTTATGAAGATCACTATATTTCCTAGGCAAGCTAAAAACCTTACGTCATGACTTACACATTGTAAACTAAGAGTCAGACCTTAGCTATCAACTGTATGTGTATCAAAGTTTAACATTGAAGCCAACTTTATTTTGTTTGACTTCATGTTTATTGTGATTTTCTGGATCTTTAGTCCCATGCTAAATAAACTTTATGCTCAGTTCCATCTATTGTAACTGAAGCATGGACCAGTCATTTGGGACAAGAGCTGTTGGATGCTTCTGAGGAAAGGAGATTGATTTCTGTCTTAAAAGAAGTCAGAAAGAGAAAAATAAAGGCCTAGAAAACCTGTCAAAGCTACTGTGGAGTCCATGTCCATCACCATGCTGTGCTGTGATGAAGCTGGCAGAGGTGAGTTTGGGCAAAGGGAGAGTCCTAAAACCCAGAGTAGGTAAGATGTGGTTACACCCATGTAATCTGTAGCCAGCTGATAAAACTGAATTGTCTCTGCTAGAGTGGAGGGATGGGGTTAGCAAGCCACTGGTTATTTCCTGTTTATACAAATCCCCACACTGACCAGATGAGGTGGGTTAATTTAACTAAATGTGTTAAAAATTAATCTCAACTTTCCCAATATTAAAAAATTTTAAGACATTACAGGTAAGAGCCATTTGCATTTGTCCATATAATGTTTGGTCCAGACTAGTTATAAAAGTCTACATACTTTCTCTGTTTCTTTTGAGAGATTATTTCTCAGAACAAGAGCCTACTCTGTTAGGAAATGTCCGCAGATTAGAGATTGTCAGCTGCTCCCACTCCCCATATTGGATCAGACTGTGGAGGTGGTGTTGGGTTTCTCTGCTCCCATCCCTGATACTGCCAACCCCTTCCTCCTCCCGCTTCCCATTCCTTTTCCTCTTTTGAACAGCACCTCATAATTATCCACAAAGCTACCTCATTATCCTCCTTCAAAACCCCTTTTAAACTCTTCTTTTCTGTAATTCCCACAAAAAAAATGGTAACAACGATTAGGCCACTGGCATGCTGAGACCACTGCCCATCATACTAACCCACGTTGTCTCATTTCCTTATGCTCCCCCATCTGTCTGTCGGTACCTATCTCTTGACTTGTCTCAGACTTAGACTGTAAGCTGTATGGGGCAGGGACCATCTTTTTGTTGTATCTTTATTCAGTGCCTAGCCCTATAGTAATACAAATAAATAATAAAATGAGGTTTTCCTCTCCCACGGAAAGTTTTGCTTTTTGGCAAAAATTGAAATATATAAAGAAAATCTTGGACTGAAATCTGAAATATTTCTGTTTGGAAATGGCGCCATGGGAGTTATAGTTTGGGTGCCTCATGCTTCCCGTAGAGAATAGCAACATGAGGCATTGAACCTATCACTACCATAAGACACTGCAGCAGCATATCTAAACAGAAAAAAATTGTATTGACGAAAAAATTGAAATTCTGTGGAAAGCAGAGACTTCATGAAAAACTTAGTCAAAAATCCAATTTTCCATTAAAAAAAACAGTGTGTAAACAAGAACACATAGCAGGAACACAGCAGATCACCTTGCTCCTCTCTCCATAATAAAAATACATTTGCTCAAAGAAATACCTCCAGACCCATAATTACTTGTGTTGCTCATCTCAGAATTATTTCCAGTTTATCAGCATCTTTTTATATTGAAGTACCCAGAAATGAATGAAATATAGTAGCTACCAAAATCCAGTGACAAATAAAGGAGGACATTGCTGATCTCTAATGTGACACCTCTGAGTATTGCACCACAAAACTACACTAGTTTCTCTTCAAAATAATTTTAAAAATCCACACTCCTCTCACAGCAAGCTCATACCCAATTTGCTCTCTATCACCCCATCATAGATAGTAGTAATAAAAAAAGACAAAAGAAAAAACAACAATTTAGTAAATCTCTCCCATCAAATTGAATATCTTCATTTTTAAAATATTTTCCCCCTCAGATACTGCCTTGCGTTTAAATAGTTGCATCTCATTTTTGGTAATTCCTCCCTATATTTTTAACTTGTCTGCATCTATACAGTGTATACGTCTACTACTCGGTCTTCACTTAGTGTTTGAAACACTCTGAATTTAGCATAATTTGCAAATTAAATAAATGAGCTCTTTATGTCTTCCTCTAGATTATTAATCAAGATTATGTTTGAAGAGTTTAAAAAGTAAAAGGGCTAACGTACATGAAACAGCCAGAAAATAAACACATTTTTCAGAACTATTAAAAGTTACAGACCCCCAAGCACTGAAGATTAACTGTTTCAGGATTAATATTTTTAAGAGGGATGATTATTTGCATAAAAGCCATTCACATACAAAAACTATGCTATGTTTCTTACTGAATGGCACATTTCCACATATTACATTGGGCTCAAGCAGGGCAGGCCAGAAAAAGAGATTAAACAGTTTAAAACCATAGAAAAGATCAACAGTAAAAAGCAGAATCTTTCAAACAAATGTAGGGTGGCAAATATTTCCTTCATCTTCCATAATCAAATGGAACAATCATAGAACCATAGGGTTAAAAGGGACTGCAAGGGTCAAACACTCCTTCCTGTGGCGAATGGAAACACTTATCTATAAATAATGATAAACCATATCTTCAAAACCCAGGCAGGAAATACCTATGATATTATAGTGTGAACTTTACACTGACCTGTTCCCCTTTCTGCAAGCAACAGAAAACAAGTTTAAAAAATGGAAGGCAGTGGCTCTATAGCTCAACCAAGGGCAGTCTTAAATTGGAGAAAAGAAAAGTTTCTTAGATCATCAAATCCCTGTAGTTGCAGCATTGCTGTGTTTAGCACAACAGCACTCAAGATTCCTAGCTGGAGTTCCCACCCCCCCATATAGATCATCTCAATCTCATCAGTAAGCAGAAAGGATGGCTGCTCCTAGTACAAACAGATCAAGTGCCTCATTTTCAGCAACACTTACACCCACAACTCCCACTGAAGACCTTGATTTTTCAGAGCCCTAAGGAAATGATAAAATGTAGAATCCAGCAGGAAGACTGCAGGCAGGGCCCGCTCCAGGCACCAAGCATCCAAGCTGGTGCTTGGGGCGGCACCTGGAGGGGGACGGCGCGGCGCTCCGGCCGCCGGAGAGAGCGGGGCCACAGCCGGGCTCGCTGCCCTCCCCCCGGCACTCTGGCCGCCCTCCCCCCCGCGGGCCCCCGGGGGGGGCGGGGGGGAGAGCCGAGCCCCCGCCGGGGCTCGCCGCCCTCCTCCCAGGGCTCCGGCCGCCCTCCCCGCCGGCGCCCTGCCCCCGGCAGCTGGCGGGGGAGCGGGGGGGCGGCCGGAGGCTTTTTTGCCTTGGGCGGCAAAAAAGCCAGAGCCGGCCCTGACTGCAGGTCATGAAGTGTTCTGTGAGCTCCAATATCAGT